TATACAGTTAAAGTCAGAATTATCAGCCCCCTTCGATTTTTTTTCTTCTTCTTTAAATATTTTCCAAATGATGTTTAACAGAGCAAGGAGGAAATTTTCACAGTATGTCTGATAATATTTTTTCTTCTGGAGAAAGTCTTATTTGTTTTATTTCAGCTAGAATAAAAGCAGTTTTGAATTTTTTATTAACCATTTTAGGGACAAAATTATTAGCCCCTTTAAGCTATATTTTTTCTCGATAATCTACAGAACAAACCACTGTTATACAATAACTTGCCTAATTTCCCTAACCTGCCTAGTTAACTAAATTAACCTAGTTAAGCCTTTAAATGTCAATTTAAGCTGCATAGAAATGTCTTGAAAAATATCTTGTAAAATATTATTTACAGTGATCATGTTAAAGATAAAATAAATCAGTTATTAGAAATTAGTTATTAAAACTCTTATGTTTAGAAATTTGTTGAAAATCTTCTCTCCGTTAAACAGAAATTGTGGAAAAAATAAACAAGTGGTCTAATAATTTAGGGGGGCTAATAATTCTGAATTCAACTGTATATATATATATATATATTTTTTTTTTTTTTTAACAAAATTGCCCTTTTTATTTTTATTATTATTTTATCTTATTTTAGTTCATCTTTATTTTCTATTTATTTGTTTATGTATTACTTTCCTCGCATGAGAATGCATTTTTTTATTTTATTCTTTTTAAAATATATATATTTATTTGAACGTTGGGATGGGGCGGGAGTTCTTTGATTGGTATTTGGTTACTAATACAGTATGAATGTATCACATTTTTCTGAAACAATAAAATGTAAAAAAAAAAAAAAAAAACAAACAAAAAAACATCAACTGCACATTGTTACTTTTGACACAGTCAGTAGGGACAAAAGTAACACGCCTGGGTCAAAAGTAACAATGTTAGATACATTTACTACCTTAATCTAGTTTATGTTAAACATATCTGACTATGACCTTGTTAATAAACACTGCATGTCACGACATATTAATATTGTTTCTTCTGGAGAAAGTCTTATTGGTTTTATTTCGGCAAGAATAAAAGCAGTTTTTAATTTTTTTATAAGCCATTTTAAGGACATGATTATTAGCCCCTTTAAGCTATATATTTTTTCTCGATAGTCTACTGAGCAAACCACTGTTATGCAATGACTTAACTAATTACCCTAACCTGCCTTAACCTAATTAACCTGGTTAAGCATTTAAATGTCACTTTAAGCTGTATAGAAGTGTCTTGAAGAATATCTAGTCTAATATTATTTACTGTCATCATGGCAAAGATAAAATAAATCAGTTATTAGAGATGAGTTATTAACACTAATTTGATTAGAATTGTGTTGAAAACATCTCTTCATTAGACAGAAATATACAGGGGGCTAATAATTCAGGAGGGCTAATAATTCTGACTTCAACTGTATTCCTAAAGCACTAAATGCCCTTCAGGCGATGCAGTGGTGCAGTAGGTAGTGCTGTCACCTCACAGCAAGAAGGTCACTGGTTCGAGCCTCAGCTGGGTCAGTTGGCGTTTCTTTGTAGAGTTTGCATGTTCTCCATGTGTTCGCGTGGGTTTCCTCCGGGTGCTCCGGTTTCCCCCACAGTCCAAACACATGCGGTACAGGTGAATTGGATATAGGTTAAATTGTCCGTAGTGTTTGAAAGTGAATGAGTGTGTGTGGATGTTTCCCAGAGATGGGTTGCGGCTGAAAGAGCATCCGCTGTATAAAAATGTGCTGAATAAGTTGGCGGTTCATTCCGGTGTGGCGACCTTGGATTAATAAAGGGACTAAGCTGAAAAGAAAATAAATGTATGAATGAATGACTAAACACCCTTCACTGTTGACTAGAAAACGAAAGTTGTTTATGGAAAGTAAAACTGATCACACCCTGAAAATGCTGTTTTACACGTTTACAGTAGACTATGCAAACAGGAACAGCGAGAATCTGAAGAATGAGGAGAGTTAATTCTGGTCTCTTAATTTTATATTGTAATGGTTGAGGTTTATTTCTGAATATGATCAAGTAAGTATAAGTATTGTTCATTATCAGTAAATACATTAATGAAACCTTATTGTAAAGTGACCAAATATACAGTTGAAATCAGAATTATTCGCCCCCTATTAATTTTCTTTTCTTTTTTAAATATTTCCCAAATGATGTTTAACAGAGCGAGAAAATTTTCACAGTGTGACTGATCATATTTTTTTCCACTGAATAAAGCATTATTTGTTTTATTTCGGCTAGAGTTAAAGCAGCTTTTGATTTTTAAAAAGCATTTTAAGGTCAATTTTATTAGTCCCTTTAAACAATATTTTTCCCGATAGTCTACAAAACAAACCATCATTATTTAATAACTTGCCTAATTACTTTAACCTGCCTAGTTAACCTAATTACCCTAGTGAAGCCTTTAAATGTCACTTTAAGCTGAATAGAAGTGTCTTGAAGAATATCTAGTCTAATATTATTTACTGTCATCATGACAAAGATAAAATAAATCAGTTATTAGAGATGAGTTATTAAAACTATTATTATTAGAAATGTGCAGGAAAAAAAAATCTCTCCATTTAGGAAGGCTAATAATTCTGACTTCAACTGTATTCCTAAAGCACTAAACACCCTTCACTATAAGAAACAAAAGACAATAAATGAATGAATGACTAAACACCCTTCACTATTAACTAAGAAACGAAAGTTGTTTAAGGAAAGTAAAACTAATCACAACCTGAAAATGCTGTTTTGCATGTTTACAGTAGACTATGCAAACAGGAACAGCGAGAATCTGAAGAATGAGGAGAGTTAATTCTGTTCTCTTAATTTTATATCGTAATGGTTGAGGTTTATTTCTGAATATGATCAAGTAAGTATAAGTATTGTTCATTATCAGTAAATACATTAATGAAACCTTATTGTAAAGTGACCAAATATACAGTTGAAATCAGAATTATTCGCCCCCCTATTAATTTTCTTTTCTTTTTTAAATATTTCCCAAATGATGTTTAACAGAGCGAGGAAATTTTCACAGTATGTCTGATCATATTTTTTTCCACTGAAGAAAGCATTATTTGTTTTATTTCGGCTAGAGTAAAAGCAGCTTTTGATTTCAGCGAAGAAATACTCATCTCACTTTCAGTGAAACAAAAGTCTCTCTTCCTGGAGGAAAAACACGGAACAGAGTGTTCAACTGTACACAGCTAATAAATACACACTGACATTAACAGTCCACACAAACAAAGCGGAGCTCATTTCTGACGACACGATAAACGTTTGACGAATTTTAACTGCATGTGCATGTCCACAATTGAATGTGTGTCATAGCTGTTGTTTCTAATTTTTTAGAATTTCTAATAAATGAAATAAAAAGACTTACATGTATTCGAGCAAGGGGACGGTGTAGCAGCGAGCTCGTGAAACGCGCTTCTTGTTTGGGTGGGAGGGGGCGTCGCTCATGAATATTAATTACTGTAAATTCAAGATGATTGGACACTTTCTTGAAGCGTCGACGCCAGCGTCGTTACTATTCATAGGGGTTTATTATTATTATTATTTTTGAACAAATAAGTACTTTTTTTTCAGAAGCCTAACTTAAGCCACTGTCCAAACTATCTAGTTACTATCATCATCATCATCATTATTATTATTATTATTATTATTATTATTATTAGAACAATTACAGTCATGTTGACATACAACAGTCTGCCATGTCGGCTTTAAAACGTGAATATGGTTATTTATACATTAGTTTCCACTGATTTAACTTTTTATGATGAGTTCTAATCCGCATGATTTGACCAGGAACACACTAGCCATATCCTACTACTTGACCATTTTCGCAGTAAGCGCATTGGAATGAATTGTTTTATTTATTTCACAAAAACAATATAAATGTATACATATTTGTATTTAACAACATCAATATTTTCAAAAAAAAATCAAACAAGATCAACTTATATATGTGTATAAATATGGTGTATGTGTACTAAGAGAGCAAGAGATGATTCTCTTACACAGTTAGATTAAAACATTTTTTCACAAGTATTTTGCTTCACTGTTGCTTCATAATCGTGTCAGAAAACATACATTTATTGTTTAAAATGGAGTAATAAAAAGTGTGACAGCTGTGTGTGTGTAGAGAGAGAGAGAGGGAGAATTGAATTTCCAACAAGGCTTTAATACAATTTTTAAAAATATTATACAATCAAATGTT